CCGTCCTGTAATCCATGTTTAATGGAGTCAGGGACTTCCCGCCCCTCCCCCCTTGCCTCCCCCGTCCTCTCCTCTTCTTCCACCCTCTCAGACAGCCATCGTCTGGAAACGATAAGACTGGGGGGATATTGAGGTCTCTGACCTGCTAAAGATAAAAGCAGGAAGTCCTCAAACTTCTCTGGCCGCAGATATTAAAATTAAATCACCTGCAGTAAATTAACTGAGTTCACACTGAAATAAGGACGGGCAAGATTACAGAGCAGTGTTTATGAGGAAAGATGGAGGCGGCGAGGGACGGCTCGCCGTGTGTGGAAAGCATGTTTGTTCTGCAGTGTCAGAAAGTCATCATTGAGGAAACAGTTCAGGTTTATTTATTTAGCAGCAAATTAGAACAAACCAACAATCAGACGGTCCTCTGAACCCGGGTCGGCCTCGATTGTGTTTTCTGCCCCGAACGTGTCAGAGTGGGAAATGCAGCAGCATCACTGAGGTAGAGAATCACCTGATCCAGCTCACCGACGAGCTTCATCGAGAGGGAAACGTCACACGAAGTGTAATTATCTCCTGAATTTAGCCATATTTTATTAAATAAATCATTTTCATTAAACTTGGAAATATGATGATATTTTTTTCCTGGATATGAAGCCGTACGGGCAGCATGGTGGTCCTGGGTCCACTCTGTGGAGTGTGCGTGGGTTCTCTCGGGTACTCCGGCTCCCACAGTCCAAAGACAGTTAGTGGCCACAGGAGTGACAGACTGGGGACCTGTCCAGGCTGTAGCCTGTTGTGAGATGATCAGGACCCACACAGCGTGCGATTGTTGGTTACAGCACTACAGACCCACAGTTTTCCACTGTTTCAGCACTTTGTATTCATGCAGGATGCCAGTTTTCCAGCACCTTCCCACACAAACCACTCCTTCCCAACCCCAGACACTGAAAAGGGGCAGAGTTCATTAGTGGCAGTCCCTCTCACCTGTCCCCTCCGACCTCGCGGCACCACCCCATGTGCTTATCGTACCACCCCTCCATTGGCCCGCGTGACCCTGATAAGGATAAGCCACAGATAACGGATGAAACTGCACAGCTGGGGTTACATGACATTAAATGTTACAGTGAAAGCTGTAGACTGATCGAGCGGACCTGTTCCTGTGTTGGATGATATCACGTCCAACCTTTCTAATAATGAGCTCGCTGTATGTGCAGTAATCTCTGCGAGCCAAAAACTCAGATTAATCTAAATACGCAGTTTATCACAGTTTTTTCTACCCTTGGGTCCAGATGATGGCGCCGAGAGGGGGTAGAAACCCCACCCACCAACTGCTCAAACATGTTTATGAGGGGCAATCAATCAAAAGAAAGTTGTCTTAAAAGGGGAGGGGCTAAAACAGCTGGTTTCAGATGGAGGATGAACTGAGGGGCTGCACAGAGGATCAGGTACAGAAGGATTATTTTGGACTGTGACTCATGCAAAGCTGCTCTGGGAGGGTCAGTTAGCATTGCCGTGGTTTCTGTGATACAGGATTATCCCGCAGGTGTTTATCACAGAAAATAATCTCCGTTGGAGGTAAAAGTTGATGATAATCCATAAACAGGCGCTACTGTTTTTTAGGCTAATAGATGAAGCATCGTCACGACTCGAGCGTGGCTGAGTGTTGATGACTGTCCCTGACTGGGACGTGTTCACAGATCTGATGTATTTTATGTTGGAGGACCAAACAAGCAGATGTGAAGCGTCTCTTTACTGCAGACGTCCAACCTTCTGACTTTGAGAGGATGGAAAAGATCATTTCTGGGTTTAAACTTTTCCAGAATTGTTTTTGCTGGTAAAATAATCCAAGAAAATATGCAGCGTGTCATCTAAGCAAGTCCTGTGTTGGCCCTTTTTAAAGACGTTAGCAGTAAGCAGCTCGCCAAAGCAGAGCAGTCAGACATGTTTCTGACCTCCTGGACTTCTGCTTCGTCCCACTGTCTCGCAGACAGGCTGCACTTGTCTTTGTTCTAATGCTTCACCTGTGAAACACCACCTCTCCAGTCTCCACTCTTCATCTTCCTCATTCCCTCATCTCCAGACCCCGCCCCCTCTTTTAATCATCCGTTCTCTTTGTTTGATCTGGCTCTGAGCTCGCTCTTGTATTTGTGCACCATTCATCATTTAAATACTGACTGCAGGGGGAGGGGAGGAGGTGTGTGTGCAGAGTTATTTGAACAACAGATTGGACCTGAGTTCCTCCTCCAGTCAAACTGCTGTCTCACTGAGGACATAGAGGAGATCGAAGTTAGTAATAAGATAAAAATTTAATACCTAATAACGCTGAGAGATGGATCAGAAGGACAGATGTAGATAAATAAGGATGTTCCCACTCCCCGGCTTTTATTATCACTGTATGCGTCTCATTTCTGTCCATCGTAAGTTCAGGAAAGCTTCCTGCTGTCTGGGGAGCCATTAGGCTGCGGGGGGGGCACACAGTGGTGCATTATTAATCCTGCCATTAGCTCCAAGTGCAAACCAGTCAAATGGAGCTTTTGTTGTGCTAAACCCGACTGTGACCACAACTACCTGTAATTACACCCTCATAAAGACACGATTTCACGTCCCGATGCTCCTCAGAGAGGCTGCGGTTGCTTCTGCCTGCAGCTGCTTTAGAAAGCTCTGCGGCGTGCAGCACACGATAAGGAAGTGCACGCTTTAAAGTCCTGCATCTGTCAGTTTCATATAATCCTCACGCAAGAGCACAAGGCTCCTGACGTGTTCATGTAAAGGTGCGTCTGTTATTCAAACACTCAGAACTCGCAGATTGTTTTTAAACATTGAAGCATTTAACGTTAGCATTTAGCCAGAGATCATCTGACCGTCATGAAATATGCCAACAACCACAAAACAAGACAAAAATCAATCTAATGTCGCTTTTCCATTAACAAAAACGCATGTCAGCCGTTTCCTGGGTGATAAATGAGAGAAGTTGTTCCTGATCGTGGTTAATCAGCTGTGAGAATCTGAGGTGGAAACGCCAGCGTCTGAACTCTTTCTCTGTCCTCAGGAGCTGGCCGACCTTCGCCACATTCACGCTAAGCTAAAGAAGCAGTTCCAGGAGAAGACGGCAGAGCTCGCCCACGCCAACCGGAGGGTCGAGAGCCACGAGGCCGAAGTTAAAAAGTTACGACTGAGGGT